CGCATGTGCTAGCCAGCCAGACAGAGAGAGACATAGAGACAGAAAGCGAGAAATCACCCCCCAGGGGGGATGGTCACGCTGCAATCCCTTCTCCTCCATTCTCCTCTCAGGATCTTGGGCATGCCATGCACGCAGCCCGGCGTGAGTTTTAAGCCACCGGGTCTGGGACGTGAACCGCGGTCAACTACGTGGGAGTCCAGCAACATGGCCATTACAGTAACTGCTGGTTCCCTATTTATTTTTTAATTTGACCAGAGAGGGACAGAGCAAGAGAGAGAGAGAGTGATAGAGAGAGTGAGAAAGCAAGGACCTGAATCATGGTTGGCCATGTGGGAGTCCAGTGCCCTTAACCACCACACACCTGCCAGCCCCTAGAACCTTGCTCTTGGAACAGTGTGTGAGTTGACAGTGAGCAAGGAGATGGAGACACACCGGCGAGCTGGCGTAGTCACGGATGCCATTCAGGTGGCAGCTTTTTGTTCTAAGCACAATAAGCACTTTTTTTGTTTGTTTTTGTTTTTTTGGGAGAGGTTTTTGCTATAGGGCACGTGTGCTCTCCTGAAAGAGAGAGAGAGACAGAGAGACAGGAAGCAAGAAATCACCCCCCAGGGAAGATGGCCATGCCACAATCCTTTCTCCTCCATTCTCCTCTCGGGATCTTGGGCATGCACGCACACGTGCCTGGCATGAATTTAAGCCACCAGATCCGGGATTCGAACCGCGGTCAACTACATGGGAGTCCAGTGACATAGCCATTGCAGCAACTACTGGTCCCACACAATAAACAAGTTTAAGAGGGGGAGTGTTATAATTCCATTGTGATTAGATCTGTATGTTACTGCATGTGGAGAATACATTGGAGGCGACAAGAATGGAAGCTGAAGGCTGATGCCCTTGGCCTGTGGTTACAGGAACCAGAGCCTACATAGCCGACTGCGTGGTTCAGTCCCAGTCCCTGTGGCTGGAAAAATGCACTGGGCACATGTGCATGCATGCCCCAGATCCTCACAAGATGGAGAAGTGACCACACCCCATTGAGGGATACTTTCTCCTTCTCCCTCCCTCTGTGTTACTCTCTCTCTCTCTCTCTCTCTCTCTCTCTCTCTGGTAAGAGCACAAGCCCTTTGGCAATAAAAAAGAAAAGAAGAAAAAATGGAAGCTAGGAAACCACTTATATGGCTACTGCAGAAGTCCAGGGATGAGCTTATAGCAAAGGAAGTTCAGGTATATTCAGTTACAGAGCTGATGCCACCTGCTGTGTGGACCAAGAGCCAGAAGAAGTCAAGGTTCTCAGACTCAAGCGTGGATAACCGGGTACAGAGGGTCACTTACAGAGATAACAAGGACTGAGTGACAGATGGAGATTTGTTTTTAGACAGCATACATGTGGGCCCTTGGTCAGAATTCCACTCTAGACATGCTAAGTTAGGGTGTCTGTGTGAACCTGAATGGAGATTCATGAATTCAGCCCCTGGAGATGTCAGGTGGGTAGATGTCAGTTGCATAAAGTCTGGAGCTCAGGGAGGAGGAGTTAGAGGTACACAGCTGGGAGTTACGAGCATAATTAGTACTTAAATCTGGGACCAGCGTATGGCATAATGGTTACATCACTGGACTCCCAGTAGTCGACCACGGTTCAAGTCCCGGACCTGGCACGTTAAAACTCACACTGGGTGTGTGTGTGTGTGTGCCCAAGATCCCAAAAGGAGAATAGAGAATAAATTGCATCATGGCCATCCTCCCTTGGGGGTAATTTCTCACTTTCTGTCTCTCTGTCTCTCCACATGCAAGCGCCCTATTGCAAAAATCTCCCTAAAAAAGATAATATTTAAATCCATGGATGGTGATAGGAGCACTCCTGAAGAGAGGGCAGAGACAGAAACATGGCTCAGGACAGACCTGAAGGTCAAAGGAGGAAGAGCCTGTAGAGGTGGACCGTGAGGAGGCTGTGGAAAAGCAGGGAGGTGGCACTGGGGTGAGTGTCGGGAAGGTGATCGTGCTGTCAGAATGGAGCAGAGCTTTAGTTCATCTTGCTTCTTGAGGCCTTTTCTTAGAGAGCTTTAACGAAGATTTGAGTAGAAAGAGATGCCTTTTATATAATAGCCCTTCAATAAATATTAATAGTTGTTGGGTGAACTGGCTGGCTGATCTCCCAAATAAATGAATGAATGAGGCCCTGTGTTTCAAAACTATGAATTTCCTTCCAGTCTTTTATGCAAGTACATATATATGCAAGTTTCCAATACTGAAAACTGTCTGTGCATAGATACTAGAATAAGCAGTTCTTCACCACCCTTTCCTAAACATAACTTTTCATAGTTACGAAGAACTTCCTCGTTAGGGCTCTGATAAGCATTTTGGAACAATCTATTACTGTTTTCCCAAGTTTTCATGATCATAAATGATGCCAAGATATGCATCTTTTAAAATTTTTAACTTTTTAAAAATTTTGCTATTGAGTGCACGTGTTCACAAGAGAAAGGTAAAGAGAGTGAGAAAGCACCCCTCAGGGGGAAATGGTCTTGCCACAATTCCGTCTCCTCCTTTCTCCTGCTTTTGGGGTTTGGAGCACAAAAAATGCTTTCCATGTCACCAGATCCAGGACTCAGCAGGCGCTCAGTCATGTGGGACCCAGCAGTCTTAACCACCATGCCACCAGCTGGCCTCAGTAAGCATCTTTCTAAACAGTTCCAGTTGCTGAAGGAGTCTGCCTCTAGGAACCCTCAAATCATTCCAGGTCAAAGCCCTAAGACTGACGAGACTTTGTTGGAAGGAGAATCCAAATTGAGCACAACGAGGAAAACAGGTGCAAATGAAAGAGATGGTCGTCCAGGTAACAGTGAAAAGAAGCCGAGCTGAGAGAGTGAGAGGCCCTGGTTTTGTTCACATGAGAAAACAACTGAAGCAGAAATTTTCAGAGTCATGAAGATAGCAATGCTCTATGGGAAAACCTATTTAAAGATGAATAATAGGAAAGGTCTTTGGTCAAACCCCATACAAACTAGTATAAGAAAAAAAGAAAAGAAAGTCTCTTTAGACAATGAAGAAATGTCCAAAAGACATTTCCATAACAGATGAAAACTGTAACCTAATATTTCTTTTTTTAAGAGAGATTTTTGCTATAGGGCGTATGTACTTGCTAGAGAGACAGAGAGACAGAAAGCAAGAAGTCACCCCCCCCCCCACCCAGGGGAATGGCCATGCTGCAATCCCCTCTCCTCCATTCTCCTCCCAGGATGTGGGGCATGCGCACATGCACATGTACCTGGCGTGAGTCTTAAGCCTCCAGGTCTGGTACTCAAACTGTGGTCGACTATGTGGTAGTCCAGTGACATAACCATTATGTCATCTGCTGACCCTATAGCCTAATATTTTAATAAAGTTGAAGGAAATTTATTTATTTGTTTATTTTAGTCCTTGCTATTAGGGCATGTGCACTTGCCAGAGGTAGAGAGCAAGAAAGTGAGAAATTACCCCCCGAGGGGATGGCCATGCCACAATCCCTTCTCCTCCAGTCTCTTCTCAGGATATGGGGCATGCACACACATGTACCTGGCATGATTTTCAAGTCACTGGACTCAAAATGCACAATAAGCCATGTGGGATTCAGCATCTTAACCTGTATGCCACCTGATGACCCCACTGAGAGAAATTTTTAAAAGATAACAGCTATACAACAACAGCATAAATAAAAATGAGAAGACATCACATCACATGAGAAAGGAGACTCCTTTATGAAAGCGAGACAGGAAGAAAGTGAGAAAGAGAGGAGCTGGCAGGTGGCGTGGTGGTTAAGGGCTCTGGACTCCCACGTGGCTGACTATAGTTTGGGTCCCGGACCTGGAGGCTTGCTTTCTTACTCTCCCTTTCTCTGTGTCTGTCTCTCTCTGGTCAGAATGGAAGAATAGTGATAATAAATAAAATTAAAAATAAGTAAATCTTAAAAAAAAAGAAAGAAAGAGAGGGAGAGAGAGGGGCAGGGAGACAGAGATGGGTACTTTTGACAGGATCTTATTGTTGCGACCCTCCTGCTGCTGCCGTCAGTTAACCAGGATTATGGAAGAACACAGCCCCCAGCATGTTCAGGTCAGCCTGGGGACAGAACCCAGTCCTCTCGTGTGGCCTCCAGGCTCCCAAGCAGTGATGCTATCTGTGCATCACCACAGGTAGGCCAAGAAATGGAAAAAATTAAAGTGAGATGACAGAACCCAGGAAAGAGAATTTAAAGGAAAAAAATCAGATTATGTCCATGAAGCACTGAGCTCAGTTTCATGGAAGCAGCAAGTGCTCACCGAGCAGTAGATTAAAGCAGGATTATCCTCCATGCTTTGACTCGCCAGCCTCTCCTGCAGCTTCTGCCAGTGCCCTCTTTACAGCTCTGAAATCACCATGCATTTCACCAAGTGTCACAGCTTGCGAAGCATGTGAATACGGTTGGATCCGGACACCAGGCCACTGGATGCCCTGTCTTTCAAGATAAGAAATAAGAGAGTTTATGGAGCCTGCCTAGAAATGACTGTCCTGGGAGATCCAGAGAGGAAGACAGTGCTCCTCATCCTGGGGCACTGTGCACTTCTCTGTCGGGCAATGACCCAGCCCCGGGCCTCATGGTCCAGGGACAGGCCAGGCCTGCAGAGCCCAGCAGAGGAGAGACGATGGCACCAGTCCCAGTGGGGCCAAGATGAAAGATGCTAGCATGTACACTCGCTGGCTCTCTGCCCACGACTTCACAGCCTAGTGAACTGCCACTTTCAGACTACGCTGGTGAGCACAATGGGGCTGGACAAGGCGTAGAAACGGAAATACCAGCCTTCGTGGTATTTGTGTGCAGGGTCGTTTCATACACATTCATACACATTCCTGGAAACCGGTCAGCTGAAAACAATGTATGGGCAAAGAGCGCGAGGAATTGAAATGGCTCCTTCTCCAGGGATAAGCCATTGGATGGGATGAAGCCTTTCATGGTGAATAGAAACCATGTAACTGTCTGCATAACATCCCAATCACGAGGAGGCTTAAGGGAAACCGAAGTCCCTTCCAATCCACCCCAGACAAGGCTGTCATTCTCGTTAGTGTGAAGCACCTGTTTCTTCCTCTTGATAGACGCAGCGGGAAAGGGAGCTCTTATGCCAATGAAATGTTTTTAATTTTCCTTCCCAGATTCTGTGGTCAAGCCAGTGCACCGATACAACTCTGGTGGAAATGGCCATGGCTGTGCACTCTCACTGGGTGTAGGTAATTCATAGCAAGCACAACATGGCCTGAGGGTTTTTTAAAAAAAATCACATTTTTTTCTAATTAAACATTTTATAAATATTTGTTGTGGGAAAAAAATGGAAGAATACATAAAAGTATAAGTAAGCAAATAAAAAGCAGCTAGAAGCCTACCACCCACAGAAAAACCCATCGTAACTCTCGCTCCATGTAAGCTTTCCATGGCACTGTCGTATGTATGAGCAAGGAACATGTACCTTCATGACATGACGGGAGTGTCAGCAAACTCCTACCTGGTCGAGTGTAGGAAGGCTTCTGGGTGGGAATCTGGAGTGTTTTCCCCATCTTGGCCATTCCAATGAGCTATCTCCCCCTTTATAACTCCTCTGAACTTCATTCCTGTTTAAAAGGTATGTCACCCAGGTGCTGGCTGAAGGACCTGACTCAGAGGTAATGTGGGCAGATGCCCACAGGGAGCCTCACCTGCCTGGCTCCAGCTGTCTACACTGCACCTTTGCAGATGAGAAACTGGCACCTCAGGGTGGAGCGCGGCCAGATACTGGGCCAGCTCCAGCACGCAGAGGCCCAGGTGGGCGTGGTGCGTGCCAGGTGCAGGGCTTGGCAGATGGACAGGCAGCCCTGGGGACGGGCTGAGAAGGGCAGGGTGGGGAGGTGGAAAGTGTCTGACGGTTTGAGAAAGTCAGCCCATCCATGTTTTTGTATTAGAACTAGAACTACATACTGACATTTTGAAATGATTTCTTTTCCCAGGTATCAGCGAATGCGCCAGCCAGCCGTGTCAACATGGTGGGACGTGCGTAGAAGGGGTCGGCCAGTATAGGTGCACTTGTCCTCCAGGAAGGACTGGGAGCCGCTGTCAGCATCAGGCCCAGACTGGTATGTAGCCACTGGGCTGGGCAGGGCTGTTCCACGGCAGGGAGAGGAGGACCCTGGTTTGGGTCGCCAAATGCAGACCAGTTGGGAGCCCAGTGGCCCCAGGAATGTGAAGCGCTCGATTGCTGTCCCTGGGTCCCTGAAATGGTCACTTGGCTGGAGCTTAACTTTTCTGTGTAACTGGAGTTCTCATCTGTCTTGTGGACGAAAACATAGCAGAGAAGGTCCTACTTCCAACCTGAAATCTCCCCAGATGGGGCATTTGGCCCGAGAAGCTTCAGTGTTGCCACTTTGGCTTGATCAACATTTCTTCTGCCAGCAAACCTGTCTTTCCTTTCAAGTGATCCCTTTATATTCTACAAAACGAGCAGTTACTGATGCAGTCCAAAGTCTTTTTTCTTTAAAGGGTACCACCACACCACACCACCTGCTAGTCCCCCAAAGTCTTTTAAGAGCTGGATAGCTCAACAGTTGGCTCATGATGAGGCTATTTTCAGAGGTTACTTTCACATCCTGAGTCCAGCACATCCGTAGCCTGGAGGTCTAAGAAGCCACACAGTGGCTGGTTTTGCATATCGCATGACAGTCCTATGGAGGTTGGAGGGGGTTCTCACACAGTGCTACATCCAAGATTTCTTCTATGAAAAAAGTGCAGCCCTAAATCTACCCTGTTCATTTGCTGGAAAAGACGGGCGTGTTGTCTTTACTTTGTGAACTCTCTGTGCGGGAAGAAGGAGGGTGCTTAATGGAGTGTCCAAAGAGCAGGAGCTTTTCTTGAGATCCTTGAATTGAACCCAGGCTGAGGTCAGCTTCAAAGAGTGCCCCCAGAGATTTGCTGCATATGTGTCTTGATGCAATTCAGCAGATGGCCTGCTAGGCACTTTCTCAGAATGAGGCTGCCCTCTGGGGAGCCCAGATGGGGCTGTATGTATAAATACATACATAACCTAAGTTATGTATGTATTTATTTAAAGGATTTTATCACGGCATATGCACTCTCTAGAGAGAGAGAGAGACAGAAAGAAGTAAAGTGACATATCACCCCTGGGGGGGATGGCCACTCTGCAATTTTTTGTCCACCATTCTCTTAGGATTTTGGACACTTGGGACCAGCAGTTGGCATAATGTCTATGTTTTTGAACTCCCATGTAGTCGACCATGGTTTGAGTCCTGGACCCGGTGGCTTAAGCTAACTCCGGGCCCGTATGCATGTGTGCCCAAGATCCCGAGAGGAAAATGGAGGAGGAGGGATTGTGACCTGGCCTTGCCCCTTAAGGGGTGATTTCTCACTTTCTGTCTCTCTGCTTCTCTCTTTCTGGAGAGCACACATGCCCTATAACAAAAACCTCTCCAAAAAATTAAAAAAAAAAATTTAAATAAAGAATAAAAGGATTTTGGACACTTAGGCTCATGCACCCAGTGTGATTTTCAACCCACCAGATCTGGGACTTAAACAGTGGCCGTCATGTGGGAATTCAGTGCCTTAACGACCAGGCCAACTACTGGCCCCCACCCTATTTATTTTTAAATTCTATTACTTTTTTTTAAGTTCATGTTTTTTCCGAGAGAGAGAGAGAGAATTCCCAACAACATCTCCATGCCACAGTTCGCCCCTAGCCTCAGCCAGCTTAAATCATGGCCCATGCTGGTGCGCTTGTGTACAGGGATTCTTTAGGACCTGACCTAAGACTCTCCCACATAGGTCCAGCTATGTTACCACTGTGCCACCGTATGGTCCTTATTTACCTTTTTTTTTTTAAGATTTTTTTTTGTCACTGCTAGCAGGTGGCACAGTGGTTAAGGGCGCTGGACTCCCACATGGCCAACCATAGTTCAAGTCCCAGACCTGGTGGCTTGCTTTCTCACTTTCCCTCTCTTTCTCTCTGTCCCTCTCTGGTCAAACTTAAAATAAATAAATAATTCTTTCTTTAAAAAAAGGTTTTTTTATCAGGACCAGCAGATGGCATAGTGGTTACATAGCTGGACTCCCATGTAGTTGACTGCAGATTCGAGTCCCAGACCCAGTGGCTTAAAACTCACACCAGGTGTGTGTTTGTGCATGCCCAAGATCCCAAGAGGAGAATGGAGAAGGGATTGTGACATGGCCATCACCCCCCCCCCCCCGGGGGGGGGGGGGTGATGGCCATGTCACAATCCCTTCTCCATTCTCCTCTCAGGATTTTGGGCAAGTATGCATACTTGCCCAAAATCCTGAGAGGAGAATGGAGAAGGGATTGTGACATGGCCATCACCCCCCCCCCCCCGGGGGGGGGGGGGTGATGGCCATGTCACAATCCCTTCTCCATTCTCCTCTCAGGATTTTGGGCAAGTATGCATACTTGCCCAAAATCCTGAGAGGAGAATGGAGAAGAAGGGATTGTGATATGGACATCCCCCCTGAGGAAGTGATTTCTCACTTCCTGTCTCTCTATCTCTTTTTCTCCAGCAAGCACATGCTGCCTATGCCAAAAATCTCTCTTAAAAAAAAAAAAAAGTTTTTTTTGTCATAGAGCACATATGCTTGCCAGAGAGAGAGAGACAGAGAGCAAGAGACAGAGAGAGGGAAAGTGAGAATCATCCCCGTGTCCACGGCCATGCTGCAGTCCCTTCTCCATTCTCCACTAGGGGTTTTGGGCACACACGTGCCGGAGTGATTTTCAGGCCACTGGGTCTGGGACTTGAACCATGGTAGATCATGTCCAGCACCTTAACCACAATGCCACCTGCTGGCCCCATTATTTTTTATGGTAAAATATACCTTATGCCAAATGTGTTATTGTAACCATTTTTAAGCATACAGTTCAGTAGCACCGAGCACATTCCCATTGTGCAGCCATCACTGCCAGCCAGCTCCACAATTTCCATCTTGCGAAACGGAAGCTCTTGTACATTATACAACTCTGGACCCCGCCCCCAGCCCCTGACAGCCACCGTTCTACTTCACATGTCCACGGATGTAACCACTCTAAGTACCTCCCAGCCCCTGAATCCCAGTGTTCGTCCTATACCTCCAGTTGGTTTTCCCACCTCTTCCTCTTTAGTCTCCCCAGCCATATGAGAGCTTTAAGTCATTTGAAATCTTTCAGCAAAGTAACATTTTATTCTGATTTAAAAATTAACTTTTGTTCTTGGTAAAAAATAAAAACAAAAATCTTGAACACATTAGAAAAGTACAGAAATACAAACAGAAAGAAAGAATGAAATGACAGAAAGGAAGAGAAGAAAGAAAGAGTAGTGGCCCGACCCCCACCCCCCCACACACACAGTGAGAGATTTTTGGTATAGTGCATGTGTTTTCCCCAAAGACACACACACACACACACACACACACACACAGAGAGAGAGAGAGAGAGAGACTATGATGGTATTCTCTCTATTGTCCAATAGATCTCAAGCTGTGTTGCGATCCTTTCTCCTCCATTCTCCTCTTTTTTTTTTTTTGAGAGGTTTTTTTTGTTTTTGCTATAGGGTGCGTGTGCTCGCCAGACAGACAGAGAGAGACATAGAGACAGAAAGCGAGAAATCACCCCCCAGGGGGGATGGTCACGCCGCAATCCCTTCTCCTCCATTATCCTCTCGGGATCTTGGGCACACACGCACACGCACCCGGCATGAGTTTTAAGCCACCGGTTCGGGACACGAACTGTGGTTGACTATGTGGGAGTCCAGTGACATAGCCATTACGCTAACTGCTGGTTCCCCTCCATTCTCCTCTTGAGATTTTGAATATGCAAGCACACATACCCAGCATGAGTTTCAAGTTTCTGGGTCCGGGACTTGAACTGTGGTTGACCATGTGGAAGTCTAGTTACTTTTACCACTATGCCACCTGTTGGCCCTGAGGGCCAACTTACTTTTATAATTTTAGAGTTTAAGTTTGTTTGTTTGTTTGTTTTGTTTTTTAAGGTTTTGGCATAGGGCACATGCGCTTCCTGGAGAGATTTTAACATCCAACAGAGGTCTACCATGTAGGAGTCAAGCCGCCTTAACCACCCTGCCACCTAATGGCCCCTTGTTAAGCTTTTTTTCTTCATATATATATATTTAAAATTTATTTATTTACATTCATTCACTGTACATCATTACAGCATACAAAATGAGATTTTTTCCATTCAGAATACACTTGGCTCAATCAAGCACATCAATGTATGTGTTATTGTCAACAAATAATTTTCCATTTCTTATTTCCTGTATATTTTGCCTTTTTTTCCATCCTTGATTCCCTATCTCTCACCCTCTGCCATCTCCCACCCTCCTCCCACACTGTGTCTGGTATCTATTATTGCTTTCTACGCTCCCCCCCCCATTTTATTGTTTTACTAAATATCTTAATTAAATATTTTCAATAGCAAGCACAGCTGATATATACATATCCATGAACACAAGTCTGACTTTAGGCATAAACCTCAGTGAGTAGAATGAACATACTATAAAGTAGCACCTAGCTAGAGCTATATAGCTTACTGCAGTCATAAAAGAGGTATTTTTACTGTG